AAAAATTTCAAATGCATCACCCTGTATATTTGTGCAAGCTTGGATTCAATTTTTTATAAGTTTTTTTGGTATAAGTTTTGATTCAAATAAAATCACCAGATTTTGAGTTATTAAGCATATAATAGAACAACACACCAAAATTAAGGGAAAAAATCACATCATCCATGGAAACAAAAGACCCCTTATGTTCAGAAAAGCATCCGTAATCCTTTCCTTCATATTTTCCGGGGTAGGTGGTGGACATCTATAAACTTCTTGCTTAACGTAGCTACATGGAAAGAAGTCCATCGGTGTCATATCTGGTGATCTAGGAGGCCAAGATATAGGCCCATCACGACCGATCCAACGATTGTTACTCCAGGTGTCCAAATATATAGTTACGCACACGATTATGATAATGCGCAGGTGCGCCGTCATGTTGGAAGTACATATGTATCCGAGTTTGTAAGTTGACTCCAAAAGCAAAGGCAGTAGTAGACTCTTCGGTCTCCTGATCAGTCGCCGTGCGCTGTGCGGGTTCGAGTCCCGTCGCAGGAGAAATTTTTCTCTTGGCTATGGATGTTGTGATTGTCCGTAGGCGGTAGATGGTCTCTGACTGTCGAACGCGGAGGTACCACCTGGCGGTTCTCGTAGGCGGACCCAGAATGTGTGCAGAGTCCGTGTGGCGTCCCCCCCCTTTCCCATGTATCCCCCTATAGCCCCACGGTACCCAATGGGTGCTTAGGCCTTAGGCCTTCGTGGTAGTTGGAGTATAAAAAAAATGTAATATATATTCTGTAAGTCATTTCTCACTGATTAATCTCGTTATTCTTTTTAATAACACCACAGATAAATAACATGAGTTTACTGACTTTTCGGTTTCACATGTGTGCTCATAGTACAGAGGTGAACAGTGTGAAATGTTTTTTTAAGAAAAGTCAATATAGACAGCCATTTACCTCAATATAAGAAATCATTCAATACACTTGTTCTTATACTGCGACCTGCTATTTAGAACCTTCTCTACTTAATGGTGAAATCTTGATTCTTATAATTTGTGGAGATTCTACAGTATGCACGTAGAATGATTTATATAGATACGTATACAGATCGATCGATAGCTCCGTTATTTTAAAAGCTACCTAAAAAAGTTATTTACAAAAATTGAAGAAAACTATACGCTACTTGGAAAATATGCCGCTCTCTAAAGGGTAATCACGTGACAAGACATATATTTTTAAATGAAACACAAAATTAAAAAGTAATTAAATGACAAGAAAGTTAGGAAAATACGTTTTATTAATTGGCTTTAACGGGAATAATAACATAGGTGTACTACTGTGCACACCTTGTGACTTTCAATCCAAACTGTTGGAAACTAATGAATGAATTTTGTAACACTCGGAAGGAAAAACGATGAAATAATTTACTTATAATGTGTTGCTAAATAATTGTGAAAACTGTACTGTTTTCAGCTCAAGTTCAATTTTGGTAAATCTCAACTTAAGTTAAGAACATTATAACTATAACGAAAATTCACAAGAGAGCATTTTTATGTTAAAAAGTGTGAAGAATCAGTTTTTTTATTCAAAAAGCAAAAAATTGCACCAAGAAAAATGTGTCGGTCATTTTAATATACTACAGGTACAGTATAGAGCGCCCTCTAGGGGCTACAGTAAAACTATGCCCATGGTTCGTTTTGTCGTACCAAAAAACCCTTGTATACCAATTTTCACTGATATACATCAAATATTGTTCGAAATATTTAAAAAAAAACTATTTTAAAAAGTAAATTTAAACACCCTGTATTTCGGAAGCCACACATTTTTCGACCCATGTTTTTATAGACTTTATGCATTAAGTTCTATCGAATCTTAAAGTTATGCAACAATAAACTGAAACACCCTATATATATATATATATATATATACAGGGTGACTTTGAAGTTGAGTCATTAATTTTCAGATAATGATTGTAGAAGGAAGATAAACCAAAATATGTGTGTAAAAATAAAAAAAAATTAAAAAAAATTTTACCTTGTTTTATAAAGTATCCTCCCGACAAGTATTTCAGTGCGGACCTGTATTTGATCGTGAGGTCTTGGAGCACCGGCATGCCGTCCATATGTGAGGTCTTAAGTCAAATGATTCACGAACCCGTTGTACTACATTAACAAAGGCACGAGGGGTTGGTTGCACTCGATTGGGAAACCGATCCGCATAAACATGTGCCATTTTTTATTTCGTTTGAGCCACGCAACAGACACCACTATCCCCTACCGACTGACACTGACTGTATACAACTGAATGTAATAATTGTAAAAACATCGTTCCAAATTCTTTCGCGTTTTTGTTTCCGATGCGATGAACCGATAAGGCGAATTATATCCGTTGTCGCCAAACACGAGCGCATAATATTATTATTGAGACAGGGCGGTACTCAAACTTCCAAAGGGCTATAACTTTGTTACTTTAATTTTACCAGAAAAATGGTAAAGGAAAAAAACATTTCTTTTGATCAGATCTACTCACTGTTAAAATAAATGACTCAACTTCGAAGTCACCCTGTATATACAGGGTGGCCCATCCATGTGTGGACGGAATATTACTCATAAACAAATACATTTTGGGAAAATTTATGGCGTTATACATGACGTTTGAAGGCACATTTCTAAAATATTGGCAATTATACAGGGTGTCCCAATTTTGACCTACATATCAAAGTTATGATTTTTTAAATAGAATGCCTCAAATTTTATTGCATATTTGGATAAACCAATTCAAAAGAAGACTGATATAACATACTAAGGGGTTTTGGTAATTAGCTAAAGAGATGCACGGTGTTTCGTCCAGAAAAACCGTCCACTTTGGCAACCCCTCAATCTGCCATTTTGAAATTTGGAATGCTGAATTTTGTATCAAAAAAAAAAAAAACTTACACACCTCAGCTTTTATTTTATTTGTTATTTTTTTGAATTATTATTTTTGCTCCTTGGTCAAAAATGTGAATTGTGATTTTTCTCAAAAATTTCAAATGCATCACCCTGTATATTTGTGCAAGCTTGGATTCAATTTTTTATAAGTTTTTTTGGTATAAGTTTTGATTCAAATAAAATCACCAGATTTTGAGTTATTAAGCATATAATAGAACAACACACCAAAATTAAGGGAAAAAATCACATCATCCATGGAAACAAAAGACCCCTTATGTTCAGAAAAGCATCCGTAATCCTTTCCTTCATATTTTCCGGGGTAGGTGGTGGACATCTATAAACTTCTTGCTTAACGTAGCTACATGGAAAGAAGTCCATCGGTGTCATATCTGGTGATCTAGGAGGCCAAGATATAGGCCCATCACGACCGATCCAACGATTGTTACTCCAGGTGTCCAAATATATAGTTACGCACACGATTATGATAATGCGCAGGTGCGCCGTCATGTTGGAAGTACATATGTATCCGAGTTTGTAAGTTGACTCCAAAAGCAAAGGCAGTAGTAGACTCTTCGGTCTCCTGATCAGTCGCCGTGCGCTGTGCGGGTTCGAGTCCCGTCGCAGGAGAAATTTTTCTCTTGGCTATGGATGTTGTGATTGTCCGTAGGCGGTAGATGGTCTCTGACTGTCGAACGCGGAGGTACCACCGGGCGGTTCTCGTAGGCGGACCCAGAATGTGTGCAGAGTCCGTGTGGCGTCCCCCCCCTTTCCCATGTATCCCCCTATAGCCCCACGGTACCCAATGGGTGCTTAGGCCTTAGGCCTTCGTGGTAGTTGGAGTATAAAAAAAATGTAATATATATTCTGTAAGTCATTTCTCACTGATTAATCTCGTTATTCTTTTTAATAACACCACAGATAAATAACATGAGTTTACTGACTTTTCGGTTTCACATGTGTGCTCATAGTACAGAGGTGAACAGTGTGAAATGTTTTTTTAAGAAAAGTCAATATAGACAGCCATTTACCTCAATATAAGAAATCATTCAATACACTTGTTCTTATACTGCGACTTGCTATTTAGAACCTTCTCTACTTAATGGTGAAATCTTGATTCTTATAATTTGTGGAGATTCTATGCACGTAGAATGATTTATATAGATACGTATACAGATCGATCGATAGCTCCGTTATTTTAAAAGCTACCTAAAAAAGTTATTTACAAAAATTGAAGAAAACTATACGCTACTTGGAAAATATGCCGCTCTCTAAAGGGTAATCACGTGACAAGACATATATTTTTAAATGAAACACAAAATTAAAAAGTAATTAAATGACAAGAAAGTTAGGAAAATACGTTTTATTAATTGGCTTTAACGGGAATAATAACATAGGTGTACTACTGTGCACACCTTGTGACTTTCAATCCAAACTGTTGGAAACTAATGAATGAATTTTGTAACACTCGGAAGGAAAAACGATGAAATAATTTACTTATAATGTGTTGCTAAATAATTGTGAAAACTGTACTGTTTTCAGCTCAAGTTCAATTTTGGTAAATCTCAACTTAAGTTAAGAACATTATTCCTATGCACTTATCTTCGGTTCTTCTCAGCTAAGAACATCTTTTATGTGCCAAGGCCGCATTTATATCAAGAAATTTGAGTTGTAGTTATATACTCGTATTGTGGCTTGTCTAGACATTTTTGTCAGAATTAGCCGAAATAAATTAGGTCAGTAAAATTTAAACAAGCTTTTATAGGCGATCCTGGCAGCAATTTGCTATCAAATATATCTCATTGCTTCACACGTGTTATGCATTAGAATCAACAATGGATAACACTCGCACAAAATAATACTGGAAGAAGATCCACTCATTGCGAGCCCGGCCAGAAAGGGATCCATACACTTTTTAGCTGATCTAATCAATGAGGACATGTATAAAGAGCTCAGAAAGATTAATAATATCTAAGATTCTAGATGTACACTAATGTAACAAGTGAGCTATTTAATACATTTTATTGGATTTTCAAGAATAAAACAAATAAATGCTTCACATATGCGAAAAAATACAACAAGCTAAAATTACTGCCGCAGTGAGTTATCAGATTTCTCCCTCATATTCTTTTGCTCCTGAAAAAAATATATATTATACATAATATGTCTAAGTATACGATAAAATTTAGAGCCCCTATTCTATCAACAATCTTTGTTCAATTAATTTTTATATCTTTCTACTGAATCTTGTGAAAGTATCTTTTTGATATAGTCTTCCTGAGGTTTTTGGTCTTCGTACGGCCTTACTGTGATTTCATACATTAAGATAAAGCATGAAGGTTAATATTTCTTTATTTTTTCTAGGAAATATCTGTGTAGGTGCCTATGTAAATCCGGAATGGAAATTTCAACCAGTGTGATAGAGTTGCTAACAAATTCAACGGTAGCCGAGGTCAGCATAGACTAATTCCAATTGGCCCGATAGAGCGAAACTATAGTAGTTGGAAATATGGTCAGGGATAGAAATGGCAAGAGTAACCATTCTCAAGGTGAAAACCTTGCTTAACGACAGTAGCGATAGAATAACCAGAAGATCCAATGTCCGCTAATGTTATAACCGCCTATCATAACTTTAATTTTTACACAGTGTTACTACTATGCTAAGGAGGCAAAGGCTTTGTATGTAGTTTTTGAAAATCGGTCCGGTAGCGGCAGAGATAAACGCCTAAAACAAAAAAAAATAAAGATTGTTCTAACTTCGTTTTTTGACGTTACAGAGGATTCCGATCATTTTTGAGAAAAAAATGTATAGGTAAAAATCGTGGTGGTGGGCATTCTAAAGGGATGGGGAGGTTTTATCTCAATCTTTTGATGCTGGTACATTTATTCGCTCCCAACATTGGTAATTCTACGCACCTATTAGATATATTCTTAAGATTTATCTGTTCTGTTACGGAATCACACGTGTTTCTGCCGAGCAACAGCATAGTGTTCTGGTCGCACTACCACGCCCACGGTGCCATGTCTGCTCGAGTTAGGTATCGGGGAGAGGCGACGTTTCCAGATGCACTACCGGTAGGGCAGGGAAATACTGTTGGACCAGCGAAAGATTGCAAGCCGAAAGAATGCGGACAAAAAATTGCGAAGTTGTCAGATGTTCTACATAAAATGCGGTCCATACATATTAACATATTTAAGATATAGAATTGTTCCGCTGAATTTGGCAATGTAGCTGGAAAACCCAGGCCGCAGGTAAACATCCGGTCGCTGATTGGTCCAAAACTCTTATCTTATCTGAAACTAGAATAACGTGCCGATGGCACGGTCATTTATAAACCTACTCCCATAGGCGTAGGCAGTTGGCAAATACTTTGAAAATATAATTTACTGTTTAGTGGTGATAATGGAATTCAAGCATGGGAAAGTTATTCACAGCCAGGCAAGGGAAATAATAGCAAACGTGATACGTGCTTGCGATGCAGAAGCGGCTAACAATACTTTCGTTTATCCACTGGTAGCTAGAAATGCAAGGGCGGCATATTATACGGGTGTTAGTGAACGAACTATAAGTAAAATTAGAAAAGAAGATAAAGACAGGCAAAATGCAACCTCCACACAGCCTTTAGCTTCTCCCGGAAAAAAGAGATCACGCCCTTCTGTGATCCAAAAAATTGATGGAGTCGATTTTTCCATTATTCGGAGAATGATAGAAAAATTTTACTGTGATTTTAAAGTGGTACCTACTTGTAGTAAACTTCTAATCAAACTGAAGGAAGAAATGGAATTTCCATTTGGTAAAGAATCGTTGAGGCTGCTTTTAAAAGCAAAAGGATTTTACTGGCGTAAATGCCACAACAAAAGGAAATTACTAATGGAAAGACCCAGTATTTTACATTGGCGATACAAGTATCTTAGGTCTATTAAAAAGTTCCGGGAAGAAGGAAGGCATATTATTTATTTGGACGAAACTTGGGTTGATAATGACCTCACTTTCAAGAAATGCTGGCAAAGCGAAGAAATTATGGGTGTCCTGAGCAATATAAGTTCTACAGGTAATAAAGTTTCTTTCACCTCGATTTTGCTTATTATACATTTTTCTCAATTTTGGAATATTCTTAATAAGTGCTCATTTAATTTGTCTAATTGAATACATAATCCCTTGCAAGTATTTTTTTCTCAAAAATATGTTTTTTATACATAGTGATTCAAAAAGGTGTTGGCAAACTTAAAATAACACTAAAATGAGGCTATTTATTCATTTCCAGGACGACTTATAATTGTTCATGCGGGTTCGCAAGATGGTTTTGTTCCTGGAGCCTGTCTCATTTTCAAGGCTGGCTGTGCCACTGGTGATTATCACGGTCAAATGAACCAAGAAAATTTCACGAAGTGGCTTACTGAAAAACTATTTCCTAACATTCCTCCTAATAGTATTATAATAATGGATAATGCACCTTACCATTCAGCTTTGGAAGACAAGCCTCCAACTAGATCTTCTCTAAAAAGAGACATCATCACGTGGTTGAGCAAAAAAGGTATAGAGCATGATCCTAATGCTAAAAAAATGGAGCTTTATGAAATAGCTTGTCTACATAGGCCACCATCTGATGAGAAAAATTATAAGATAGATAATTTAATAAGAAGTTTCGGACACACCCCACTTCGAACGCCACCCTATATGTGTCAGTTTAATCCCATAGAGATGATTTGGGCACAAGTAAAATTTTTCATTAGAAGCCATAATACAAGCGGCGAATTTACTATAAAAAAACTAGATGAAATTTCTAATAAGGCCATCGCTTCAGTAAGTGCCAGTGACTGGCAAAAGGTTATTGGACATGTTATAAAAATTGAAGATGAATATTGGGAAAAAGACAGTCTCATTCAAGAAATACAGGAAGAAATAATAATCAACATAGGAGGTGAAAGTGATAGCAATGACAGTTCCTCAGACAGTGATCATGACTCTAATCAGGATTGAAACTATACTAGATTGGCTACCTTTTAGAATTTTTAGATATTCATTTATTATACTATTGGTTTGTGGCTTTTAGTATCTCAGTAGAAAGTCTAATTCTATGTGTTGTTTATGGGTTATTTCATCAAGAAATTACTTTTTGTTTTCCTATATTTTTCTATTCAGTCAGATATTTTTGACTTGTTGTATTCTATTTTAGAAGAATGCATAATTTGTTTTGCTGTTCAATCATAATGCGTACATAGGAATATTACTTGTTGCCTAAAAAATATATTTATTTTGTTCTCAATATTCAGTGTTTGTGTATATTTATTTCTTATAATGTATGTTTGGTATCACGTCATTATGAATCGCAAAAAAATATTAATACTACCAGTTGTAATAAAATATAAATTCAATTAATAATTCAAGTCTCTCCGATCTCCGCCTATGACTCCATATAAAATCGTCTAATGGTAAGGTTTTTTCATCGCATTTCCCCCTTTCGTCCCTAGCAATCTTTGGCTGGTCGATCAATAATGTATATGGACTAGTTGTATGGATCTGTTTGACTGACTTTTGACACAGAGGGTCTAGTTTGTGCTGAACATATTTCTTTATGTTCTGATAACGGCCTTGCGTGGGAAGTGCAAATTCAACCTATTTGTCGACATTTTTTCCTTAACATTGTCAGGTATATGTGTCACCAGACCTGACAAACCTACGAACCACTCTGACAACCAACAATGAATTGACGGTGTATAACTCGTTCGTTGGCATTTTTTTCAACTAATACTCATTGACAGGATGCACTCGACGGCACGAGTCAAACGACAAATCCCATTTTTAAATTGACAAACATGATTCATGATGACCTTCGCAATCACCAATGCAAGGATTTTGTTAGAGAAAATGCTTGATTCAAGTTTGCAATATATCAGTCACTGATACAGTGTAAAAGTGACCTGAACAGAAGAACTCTAATCGCAGTGCCACAATCACAGGTTGTGGCCGATGCCATCCTTCGTACAGTTTCTCCGTGGATAATGTCTGGTAGCAGGTGCCACTGTGTGTCTCCTATTTCTGATGTCACCATATACAGGGTGACTTCGAAGTTGAGTCATTTATTTTAACAGTGAGTAGATCTGATCAAAAGAAATGTTTTTTCCTTTAACATTTTTCTGGTAAAATTAAAGTAACAAAGTTATAGCCCTTTAGAAGTTTGAGTACCGCCCTGTCTCAATAATAATATTATGTGCTCGTGTTTGGCAACAACGGATATAATCCGCCTTATCGGTTCATCGCATCGGAAACAAAAAAGCGAAAGAATTTGAAACGCTGATCACGATGTTTTTATTCAGTCAATGTGTCAGTCGGTAACGCGTGAGTGAATAGTGGTGTTTGCTGCGTGGCTCAAACGAAATAAAAAATGGCACATGTTTATGCGGATCGGTTTCCCAATCGAGTGCAACCAACCCCTCGTGCCTTTGTTAATGTAGTACAACGGGCTCGTGAATCAGGTGACTTTAGACCTCACAGGGGAGGGCATGCCGGTGCTCCAAGACCTCACGATCAAATACAGGTCCGCACTGAAATACTTGTCGGGGGGATACTTTATAAAAAAGGTAGCATTTTTTTTTATTTTAACACACATATTTTGGTTTATCTTCCTTCTACAATCATTATCTGAAAATTAATGACTCAACTTCAAAGTCACCCTGTATATTGTACAGCTCGTCAAGTCGTCAAGTGTAGGAAGAAATATGAGGATTTGCCGGGATTGCGCACACGAGAGAGGGAGAACGCAATCGGAGCAAAAGAGATGGCACGTACAATACCTGCCATTCGATGTCGAGTGGTACAGTCTGCGTCCTAAATTAATCGAATAATTTCAATAATGGAATATGTATTATGTGAAGCCTGCTTTTTTTCATTGAAATTGTTGGCATGTGTCAAAAGTAAACCAAAACAATGTATTCCATAAAATACGTGTTGCACGCTATGTAGCTGTAAGACTGAAATTGATTGGTACTCATTCTACTTTTAATTGTTAATAATTTCAATTAATAAGCAATCAAATGAAAAGTAAGATCAGAAAACTGACATCGTAGTAGATACAGTTGGCAATATTTTAAAGATTTATGAAGTTTCACAGAGGATCAAATCCTGAAAGTTCGGAATCGGAATCTGAGCTACTACTTAAGGCCCGTATCGTCAGTCGTCCCTACAATTGTAGGGCGCCTTTATGGCCTCCTTGATTGTCATAGTTTTCTACTTCTTCATGACAGAACTCTATTTTGAGGTTATGTCACAAACATCTATTTGCATCAAATTGTGCTTGGTTTTGAGTTATATCAGCCTGAAATTCCCTACAATTTAAAAAGAAAACATATCTTCACAATAGGAGAGCGCTGACGCTGACACGGGACAAGTGTAATCGAGAAATTTTTGAAGGAGAGAAAGGAGTATGACAATCAAGGAGGCCATAAACGCGCCCTACAATTGTAGGGTCGTCTGACGATACGGGCCTAAACCGCTATCTTCGTCTGGGTTTATTATTATTTGATCCACAACTAAGTCGAGTGCTGGTTCCGTTTCCATATACTCCTTCTCAAAACCTTTGGCATGCTCACATCGCTTTTTCCAGTCTTGAGATTCAAATTCAAATTCCTTTATTAGTTCCGAACACTATATATAAGTATAGAGAGGAACACGTCATAAGTAGGTATCACATATAATGCTTCTAAAAGGTAAAGGCGAAATAAAAAACAAATTAAAAGAACAACAGACAAACTGATAACATAAAATTTAAAAAGTGCATGTGAATGCCAAGTTAATGGACCTCCTAACAATTGCATTATTTCAGGTCCTTCAAAAACGCAAGGAACTCATCTATGATGTAGCAGGTGTTAGATAAGAGCATCCTCTTACGGTGCTTTTTGAAGAGCATAACATTATCTATTTGTTTAGGAGATTCTGGTAAATTATTGTATATTCATGTACCAGCATATCTAGGCGACTTTTCCTGAGTAGTTAAGTTATACCTACCTAAGCAAAATCGGTTCTTATTCCTCGTGTTATAAGCATGAAAATGTGAGTTTTTTTGGAAAGAGCATTTATTTTTATGAGTATAGGATAGTAGTTTTAGCAAGTAAATTGAGGAGACGGTCAAAAGTTGATATTTCTTAAAATAGTCCCTGCGGGACGCCCTGAACGTTGTTTCTAATGACTCTTTTTTGTGTGATGAAGACTCTGTCGATAGTTGAGGCCTGTCCCCAGACAACAATATTATATGACAGGACCGAGTACATAAAGACACTAATTAAGGTTTCACGACTTACACATTTTTTTAGACTATTTATGACGACCTGTATTTAACTTTTTGCAAACCCTGTGAATATGGATTTCTCAGTTTAGGTGGCAATCCACCAGTAAGCCCAAAAAATTTGTATACAGAGAGAGCTCGATGATGTGACCATTAAGGGACAAGTTAGCATTACAGGATTGCTTCTTCACAGATCTTATATTAATAGCTACAGTTTTATCGTGATTAATCATTAGACTGTTTAGATTACACCAGTTAGCAAACTCTTGGAGCACTGTATTTACCTTCAGTTGCAATTCTGTTTCAGATACAGTAGAGGCTTCTGCAGTAGTATCATCCGCATATAAAAATACTTCGCCTTCAATGATATGGTCTGGTAAATCGTTTATGGAAAGCAGAAAGAGCAGGGGTCCAAGAACACTACCCTGTGGGGTACCGATATCTTGATTATAATAATCCGACACTGATTCACCAATTTTAACAGCAAACCTACGACCTGATAAGTAAGAAAAAGTAAAGAATTTTAATACTGCCTCTCAGTCACATATGTTCCATTTTATTCTTAACAAAGATTTTGTCAATTGTATCAAAGGCACGTGTCAAGTCAAATGATATAGTGAGCACAAGTTCCCCTCTGTTCAGTTTATCGGATATGTATTGAATTAGGTCAATGCAGCCAGACTCTGTAGACATACATTTGCGAAATCCATGCTGTCTGTTACTTAGAATGTTATACTTGATGATAAATTTATATATTCGGTCATACACGATTTTTTCAATAATTTTAGAGAAGTTACTCAGAAATGACACTGGTCTATAATTATCAATGTCTTGTTCGTCTCCTTTTTTAAATATCGGCACTATTATGGCTTTTTTGATACCATCGGGAAACGTGCCGGTACACACGGCAATGTTAGTCAAATCAGCTAAAAATGAAGAAATATAGGAAATAAGTTTCTTAATATGTCTAGCAGATATTTGATCGAACCCACATGAATCTTTATTCGGGAATGCCATAACAATGCTCAATTTCCTCTATTGTAACGAATTCATAGTAAAAAGAGTTTGGAACATGTCTGTTTGGAACTGTACATGCTTCAGAAAGATGCCCGTTAAATTACGAGTTGAGTTTACCCGGTATTACAGATTCAAGACGCTCTCCGAATAATAAAGCCACATGATCGGGGTCAGATACAACACTGCCATCGATAGCTATAGTAATATTTTTGTCTCTACTAATTTCTTTGCAACGAAATTTATTGATTATTGACCAAGTAGTATTAATTTTATTTCTTGAATGAGTGATGAGTTGATTATGATATACAGCTTTTTCATTTTTAATTTTTTTACTGACGTCATTTTTACATAATATACTTCGTCGTTGTAGTTATTCTTTATCCAATTCAGTCTTTCGAGGTTATTTATTTCTATAATAAGTTCGTCAGAAAAATTTTTTCCTTGCTTTTTTGTTTCTGGATAACCGGGGAAAGCATATTTGAAAACAGAAACAGAAGGAATCGAAAAATCTATCAAATTCCATATTAACGTTCAGATCGTTAAGTCCATCATACTCCCTAAAAAACCTGAAACAGAATTCTTCAATATTTGACTGATTGAAGGGCCTGATTTGAATTGTATTTACAATTTTTTATGTGCTTCCCAACAAATCACTTAACAAACTGAATGATCTATTTTTTTTTGTTTAGCGTTGATTTTCAAATCTCCGCATAGTACAACGAAACTAAAATTTGTCGTTGCCTTAAAAAGTTCAATATTACCTGTAGGAGGTCTATAATATATTAATCAAACAAAATTTTTGAAATTTAACTGCAGAACGTTCAATCACCGATTACAAAGAGAGCTCGTTGATACTATGGATAGGACAGACCTCGGAGACGACAGACTCATGGACAAAAATGGCCGTTCCACCACACTTGCCCTCAGATCTGCAAAAACTACTAACCAGTGAGAATTCATTTATGAAAGTACACAAATTTTTTTGTAGATTAAAATCTACATTTCTCCCAACCACATATTGTTTCAAAGATGCCCATACCAACTCAATCGGGTTCAAGTCGGGGTGATATGGTGGTAATCTCAAAACAGAATGACCTTTTTCAGCCATTATTCTGTCTATTTCATAAGTTATACATTTAAGCTGTAATAGCTCGTGATAAAGTGATATAATGTAGGCGAGTTACTCCTTAAGAAAAACGTTAAATTGTAAAGAATAAAGGGGAATTAAATTAGTTTTAGATTCTACATAGTTAAAAGTGACCCAGTGCGTTCTCTTGTTATATTTTTTCAACTACGTGAAGATAAGGAAATCGAGGTATGATGCTAAATTCATATACCTAGTGCACGTTCATTTCCACTAAAAGAAACGTAAACATTCCTCAGAAAGAAAGATAATACGATAAAATAGTAAAGGTGTCCATACACTCGCAGTTGTTCGTACTGTTTTAGTTAAAATGCCAGATATCGACAAAGCTATCAAGAATATCCATGATGAAATTTTGAGGAATCGGAACGATATAAAGAACTTCATCAAATAAAAAGTACCGTCGTTGAATTACAGAAAGAAAATAACATCCTCAGAGACGAGGTTGAACTACTCAAGAGAGAACAATTAAAGAAAAATATTATAATATTTGGTCTTAACAAGAAACAGTCAGAAGTTAGTGCAGAAATTGTATGCTCGGATCTCAAAAATTTACTATAATTAGATATATATGAGAATGATATCAGTGACATTTATCCCTTGGGTAAATCACATAATTGCCCAATAAAAATGGAATTTATTTCTAACTTGAAGAAAAAGAATCTCATGAATCGCTGCAATAAGCTAAGAGGGAAACATATATACATATCTCACGACCTGACACAGAAGCAAAAAAGTGCTAATAAAATATTGAGAAGCCATCTTTACCTTGCCAGGCTAGAAAATAAAAACAGAGACTGTTACTTAAAAGGAGGAAAACTTTTCGTGGATGGAGTCGCGTACAATGCAGATGAGTTAGAAGCAGACGTCTGTCAAGAAAATCGAACTAACAGCGCTCCTCCTACTCCATCCGTCGAGACGTCAGAGGTCTTTTCGGAATCAAAGCAAGAGCCTTCTACTCCACAAAAGCCAACAAGCAAAAAACCTACGCAACTGGTAAATAAAAATAAATCTATGCAGGGAGTGATCCAAGTTATACCTAGAACTCATTCTTACAACTAAGTCGTGAGTCGTGAGTAGAGCTACGCGCTCCATAACTTTTTATATCTTTAGTTCATTGTTATAATTTGTTTCCATATTTTAAATTTTTATTTTACTGTTAGTCGTTAGTACTTCTATGTAGTACGTTAAGGAAAAAAATTAGCTTTTTGTTTTTATCTAAATATGGATCAATATATTCGAGATTTTGAGGTTGAAACAATGCAGACATATACACTAGCAGACTGTGAAGAATTAAATTTAGTTTTAGCTGTCAATGAGAACTCTCATAGCTTTAAAATTCTACACAACAACATCCGTAGTATTGCCAAAAACATGGATGAGTTCAAAATGTTATTAGCTAATATAAGCTCAAGTATCGACTGCGTTGTACTGACGGTAACATGGGTTGTATCGAACAGTGAGCTTTATAATATTGCGGGATATGAACTCATTTATAATGAAGGTGCAATCAATCAAAACGACGGTGTCATGGTATACATAAAGTCGGACTACAATTACAGATTCGAAATAATACCGTTAAATAACAATAAAGTTATAAAGCTTACTGTGAAGGTAACCGATTCCGATGACTTGAGCTTGGTAGCAATGTACAAATCTCCTTCGACAGATCCTAATGAGTTCAACAGTAATCTGTTTGAATTCCTTCAAAATCACAATACTAGGGATGCTACATATTCCTTCATCGTTGGAGATATAATATAGATATTTTGAAAAATGAAAGCTATTGCACATATTATCTCAATACATTAAGCGAGTTTGACTACCAGTCATTAATAAATAATCGTACGCGAGTGCAGCATAATAATGGGTCATGTATTGATCACATATTCTCCAAGTCAAAATATGACATAACGGATCAAATAATACCCTTCATCGTACAAACTGATCATTACAAAAAACATACTAATCTAAATAAATTGAAATCAACTATAGAATACACTTCCTGGAATGCCATCTTTTTAGCTGATGATCCTGACTCAGCAACTAACGCATTTGTAAACATAATTTCTCGAGCCATAGATGATTCTTCATTTTTTTTTTTTAAATGTAAGGAGAAACACAAAAATAGCACCATGGTTCACAAACGGCCTCGTTAAATCTATAGACACTAAAAATAAACTATTTAAGCGCACACGAGATAACCCAGATGACACGGAGCTTCGATCACAATACAACACTTACAAAAATAAGTTAAGAAACTTAATAACAAAAGCAAAACGCGACTATTATCAAAATCTAATAGTAACAAACTCAGCAAACCAAACATCTCTTTTTAAATTGTTAAGAGAGATAGCTCAAAATAAAAAGAAAAAGGAAAATGTAACAACGATAAAGACGGATTCCGGACAACTTCTAATAGATAAAAAAACGATAGCAAACGAATTCAATAAAGTGTTCAGTGTAATAGGACAAGAAATGGCCAGCAAAATTAATAGAGACCCAAATTTTCGTCCACGTAGGAAAACATTCCTAAAATCATTTGTTCTTCTCCCAACAAATATTGAAGAAATGAAGCACATCATGAGAGATCTCAAATCAAAAAAATCTCCCGGAACAGATGAAATTCGCGCTGAAACCATAAAGTTCATTTCCGAGCACATTGCAGAACCACTAACATACATCTTCAACTTCTGTGTAGGTTGTTGGCCAAAAGCTTTATGACCGTGTTTATGTATTTTGATAACGCTATACAAATCAGTTTTCAACATGTCGTCAGTGAAATGTATGTTTTTTTGCCTTAGCCATTCTTTCATGATCCTTCTTAGAGCAGATAGTAGGACATTTGTCTATCTGAACATTGTGGTACGGAGCGTTGTCTATAACCAAGACACTATTTGGTGGTAGGTTGGGAATCAGTTTATCCTGAAGCCATAGTTACTATAGTTCATCTCACTATGATAATCACCCGACTTATCATTGGATTTAGATTTCAGATATGCATTTTCCACGAAACCATTTTCACTACCAGCATGCACAATAATAAATCTTTATCCTTTTGAAACTGGCCTGTGAAGGCCCTCATTGGTGTTATCGCTCCAACTCTTTTCATGCGTATGTGAAGTATGAATGTATGTTTCGTCCATCCTTCTCAGAAAATTTCTCCTGAGATGCTGAAACTCGGGTTTCTCCATAAGAAATCCCATTGGCCTCATCACTTCCTTAAGGTTTCACGTGATCCAGTGTAATTGTGTTCTTGAACAAATTTCCTGTGTATGCGCCGCACAGTTGGAACCTTCTTTTTTGCCCCAGAATAAGAATAGCCGGAATGACGGAGAAGCTCAGTGAAAAAAATCATTAGGAAAATCACTTCTCAGAATAATGACAACTCTCAGTTCAAGGTGTTAGAGATCAAGTCAATAAGGAAAAGGAATGGTATTTTCAAGCCGTTTTGCAAGTTTATGTTGACACATACAATTAGGTTTTGCAAAAGTAATTTGGGAGGTAGAATATCTCGTTAATAATTGTCAATCTACTGTTATGAAGTGTATGAACTATTTCAGGAGCAATAATGACAAAATACCCTTATATATCTACAGCGAGTTAAGGAATACGTGTCGAGGCTGTTTCTCCCTAATTGGTTCTTCTTCCTCGGGTCATGGAAACGATAAAGATAGTAGAGTATCTAATAATTTAGCCATATTTATATGTTGTTAGCAGAGCAAACCGAAACATTGCGTCACTGAACTGTAGAAGAGGGGGGTGCATTAACTAAGCTTCATCAGTGAAGATATAACCAGCATCGACATTGCGGAAACACGTTTTAAAATGAAACAAAAATATGTTTATCTCATTGTAGTACTCTGGCGTCCTAGTGTCTACGAGAGAGAAGCGTGCAATACGTATATTAGAAAGAAATAGAAGCGGCACGTTGCCTAGCAACCGGAGTAACGAGGCCACGGACGCAGCTGCGGCTTGCCGGGTCACCATCGGCGCACGCTGCCTAACATACGTATTGCACGCCATTGCTATTTTTCTGTATATTTTAGTATCAGTAAGAGTATATCACCTTTTCATCGCCTTTTTATGGAAGGGAGGTCCACAACGACTAACCGAATTTGTTTTATGCAATTTGTTTCTGAATCCCTGGATGTCCGAGTGCAAACCAATGTCATTTATACTTAATAAAGTATTCGATAGTATTCGTTAGATTGGACCATAATATGAAAACTTGATGGAATGAGCTTTTTAAATGATGTAGTATGCCTTATAATATCCGATCTGTCCAACCGTAAGCTGTTTGTGGAATTCAAGGGATCCAAATCCTAAAAGTTTACCCACACATCAGGTGATGTCCACTCCTTTTTATTATAGTTATCGACGACATTGTTGACGTCATTGATTCCAACTCTCTGTTATATTTTTACCGATGATCTGCAAATGTATACTCCAGGGTAATCTTAACCGGGTAATAATTTGGTGTGATAATAGTCGCCATGAACGCATCCAAATGTAACAACATCAAATTTTCAATAAAACAACGCCGATATAATTATAAGGTGTGCCGAAGGTAACAGAATTTAAAGATCTTAGAGTCATCTTCGGCAACACTTTCAGCTTCAGTCTGCATGTAAAAAAATCTTCCAAATTCTGTCTGGGTTTTGTGTTGCGCAGCTCTCGTGGTTTTTGATCGCATTAAGACTCAACTGGTGTATAATGTGCCGTTACTTGAATACGCTAGAATTATTTGGAATCCCTGCTATGTGACGACTTGCCACTCATTAGAAAAAGTACAACGTAAGTTTATCAAATATCTGTTTATCATGATAAGTAGGTGGTATTTATCGAGAAGTAGATATTCGCAAAATATATTATTAGAGAGGCATCACATGCTAAGATTGGACCACAGAAGAAAAATGCACTTGTGAATCTTTTTGTTCAAGGTTATACACAACCCGTATGTTTGCCCGTATATTCTCAGTTGTTTGTCATTTTATATAGTATAAGATCTGAATTAGAAACGACCTCCACCCATCGGCTTAATGGATGAAAAGTATGTCATATCAAATTTACTATGTTAAAAGCATATCGCGAGTGGGTTGGCTAAATAATTCCTGGTGAGACTATGATTAATTAAAATATGAAAAGTCAGTTTTTGTTAAACATCGCACTAATGAGTTTAACGAATAAATTTAGCAGGTTACGCGCCAAGGTCTTTTCACCAAAATATGTCCCTAGACCAATGTGGTGTTTTATCAAATATTTAATATTCAGTCCTAATTAACCTCTGATCCCCGATATTTGATTTTTTCGCAGAGATTTTAAAAAAGCGGACACTTTACATCCTTGATGTCAGTTATCCAAATTCTCCTATACATTTTAGATACGACACCTGTTATCACTAACTTATGCTTTCTAAGTAATCCTTCATAAATGCATCATACCCTAACTTTGAACTATCTAGTCTCCTCTCTAGACTTATATCTCTGAAGTGACATTTCCTGCAACGCTCCCAATTGCTTTACACTCTCCTTAAACGCAACATTTACTATCATCTGACCATTTTCCGATTGACTTTTCCTTTTAAAATCTGCATCACAATAACTAACCGCTTCTGACTGTACTATTTTAACTTTAGCTACTTCTTCCAGCCTCCAAAACTTCTCCAATTTATTGTCTATGTTATATGCTATGTGAACCAGGCAGTTAATATACAATGTTGCACTAGATGCTGCATCAGCATCCGATAACCAATTCTCGCGAATCTGTTGCTTAGCCAGTGTCTTTGCTGTTTCCTGTAATACTTAGTCAGCAATAAGACTGTATAAATAGGCCCCGCGGCCATATCCCGTTGTTCAATACCCGGTTAGACTTCGTAATGTCATTTTAGTAATAGGTTCAATGTAAACCTCTTGTAATTTTGAATGGGCTGTGGTGCAGTCCTTAATAAATTTGTTTTCAAAAGTTATTTCTAAATCTAATGGTTTAAGATATATATTACCCATACTGTCAACACATTTCATCTTAGAAAAGTTACTTATACTCAAACAACTGATTACTGTATTACTACTGATTCCTGAAGTAACAGTACCACTACCGACCAAAATATCTCAAATCCCAATAGTATAATATCTACTTTACCAGGAATATTAAACTGACGATCAGCCAACTCTATCTCGCTGTGTCAAAAGAAACTATAGGCAACTTATCAGTTATGCTAGAGCTAACCAGAGAACTATTTGTAGCGGATGGTCGAGCAAATAAATGGATGGCACTACATTTTCATAAATTTTCTATATTTTCGCCTTTTATAAATCGACAACAAATCATAACCATAAGTGACCAATGACGTAAGTAACAGTCGACCGACCTAACCTTGCCAGCCCTAACAAAAAGTTGGACCGTTACAGCTGATAGCTATGATGCGTAATACGAGTTCAATATCTATGGAGAACTCTCTAACATTTGACTTAATGGGTATGTCACCCATTACTGTTGATAGTTGTGTCTGTCCCACACTCCTGATAAAATGATTTATTTTACTCAGTTCCAGATTTGAGCGTTGACTGAATTTTTGTCAAATGAAATTACTCTGACTCCCCGAGTCCAAGAGCGTTCTGCCGACACAAAAATTCCCTTTGCATTCTTCATCTGAACTAATGCTGTATATAATAAAATCTGTGAATTTTCCGACCGCACATTAGCGCATGAAACCCTTCTGTAGGGGACAGCCATACCGCATGAATCTGCGATGCCGGCGGCGGCGTCGTTTGGTTTAGCGTTGACGTGGTGGCTAACCGTTCGCTGATGTCTGATGGAGGTTTGGTTCATCAGCGGTCGCTTTTCGCCGAGGCGACATTATGTGACGCTTTACAAATTTTGCATTTACTTAATCTGTACTTCCATGTCAGACGGTTATCTCTCAAGCAATTCAGGCACAAATTTAGTTTTCTAGCAGCCTGAAATCCTGTCACTTTTCTGTAGTGATAAAAAAGATGTACACATTAATATCGAATGGGGTCCTTTACAATAAAATCACCCAATCACAGCTTTTGTTGCTGCAAAACTGTTATTTGTATGCGGTTTTCTCCTACTACTAATACAATATCAAAAAATTAAATGAAGTCCCAAACAACAATGTAACATAAAAATTCAAAAATTATATTAATGAAAAATAAGTTCCAGTTAATAATCATTATGACTCATCTCATGTGAAATTTTGATACTCAAATTCGGTAGATTCGTCATTATTTTCTATCATTTGGACAATTTCTTGTATTTTCAAAGGCGTTTCGTCCCCAATATACAGGGTGTACAGTTAGTAGTGGATCAACGGAAGTCAAGTGATAGAGGGCCTCAAAACATATCGAATGAACCTCTATATGTGTGGTCCGAAATTTTATAGTTCAGGAGATATTTGCAATTTTGTGAAATTTCGAAAAAAACGGGATAATGAACTGTCAATCGCAAACAGAACTAAACCGTTAGGTTTAGGGTTGATATTTTTTTAAGATGATCTAAATGGTTAGTTTTAGCAATGGTTATGTTACTTTTTAACATAGCTAATTAGAAATCAACGCTAAAAATCTTAAATTCATTTTATTGTGAAAAATCTTCCGCTCAACTTTGGAGGGCGGTAAAAAAAATGAGGATTGCACACTACTATTTGGTAACGCATATCGAAAAATATAAACGACGGTACATTGGGTATTCGTATGGGCTAAATCAAAAACAGAGCATAAATAAACCTAAATCAATGCCCAAACCGTTTGGGATTTGACTTGGATTGTTGGTTGGAGTTGCCACCGATGATATATAGAGTATAGACACTGCCGTTCATTCATGATTATACATTTGTTTACTTTCCAACATTGCTTGGTGGCCAGGGGGCAGAGACGACTAGCGGGGAAAACAAAATGGCTGCTGCGGGGGTAAGAATATCATCTTAACCAGTGGCGAATCATAATGAAAATGCCGCACTCCCAACAAAATACTTCACTATCTATACGAGCTATAAAATTAGCGTCGGCCATTTTTTTTTATTTTGGAAAATTGGTGAATATAATTAGGTTATGTGTAGATAAATAGATTCTGTTTTCAAAGACATAGGTATATGAAATTGGTTCAATGTATAAGAATCTAACATGTGAGTGAGAAAACGATTTTAGGACCATTGTCATAAGATTTCATAAAATTCAAATTTCTTGTACAAGAAATTGGATGAAAAATTTGATTGTGATATATGGCCTTAATTATCGTCATAAGGAAAATATGTTGTTTTCAAAGATTGATTTTTGAATGTCATGGTACGAAAACATTGATTTATCTTTATAGATTAGTATCGTAGTAGATACACAGAGTTTAGGTAGATTTTTCTACGAGATCATAATCACAAAAACCACAACAATAAGTAGTCATTGTTTAATCCATGTTTTATTTTACGACTATATAATACATTCACACATAGTATTATGGCACATATGCAATCATATAATCATAATAATAATAATAAAATGCCTGCTTGACCTAATGGAAAATTCTGATTTGAGTTTTACAAACAACAACAAGCAAATTAATTTGAAAAATGATTATACGCTAACCATTAAATAATAGAATAAAAAACAAATTCGCTAACTTTAATAAAATCTATACGTCTACTAAATAAAATGTGCAAAAAAGCAAAGGAGTTATCAATTCTTCCAGTACGAAACAATCCAAAGAACATACCCAATTTACCTAAAAGACAATTATCGGTTTTACTAAATATCCATGTTTATCGATGCAAAAGGTGGTTTTGGACATCCGGTATATCTTGTTTTTGTCCATGTGCTTGTTAGTTTCATGATGGATCCTTAGTTTGAAATAATGGTGAAGTACAAGCTTTATCAGTTGTATTGCATGCCATCCACTGGATCATCGTCGAACAAAGGGTGATCAAAATGGCTTAAAATTTCTGGCGGTAAAGTTTGAAATAATGGTGAAGTACAAGCTCTATCAGTTGTATTGCATGCCCTCCACTGGATCATCATCGAACAAAGGGTGATCAAAATGGCTTAAAATTTCTGGCGGTAAAGTGTTGATGGTATCAATTTTTAAAGTTTCGAATAAATTATTGATATTTCTAATGAAAATGTTTGTGGGTTTGTGGAAAAATCGGAAATATATTTCTGCTGCAGTACACAGTTGGATTACAAAATGAGAGGCCTTGATTAATTTACCATATTGTTTAATCCTCTGTAATGAAGAGAAAACTGTATCACTTTCTAAGGTGCTGCTGCATTTTGAACATGTGACACATTTTTTTATTGTTTTTATAACAAACCCAGAAATATAACTGACAACATTTTCACTGTAATCTGTCAAGTTGCAGGCAGAAGAAGAGGACAGGTATGTTGATGTATTATTTTTGATACCTTGCTCAAAGTCCAAATACTCTTTGCTGTGTGACATATCGACGCCAGTGTCAGTAACAAATATTTCTCTCCCACTGCCACATGATAAAATTGTTAATCTGTCGTCGTCATTTTCTTGCACCTTCAAATAATGAGTCAGCTGTTCTTCAGTATCTGATGCAGAAGCTGTATCAGATTTCCCAGCACAGGCAATGACTTCTTCAAATCTTAACCTGTATAAATATTATCGATCATTGATAATTGCCAATTAGGTATTTTAAAAGGCTTATCCAAGTATCTAATAAAAAGTATAGCTTTCGATTAAAAAAAAATGGCCCAACCATGGAATACACTATATACTTATCTATATTTTAGAAATATGTCCCCAACTATCATTCAAAATAACTACTAACTGATTTTCTTCATAAAGTTTTCGCCTAAGAGCAATCTTCCATCCTCACATGGGTGAGCGATCATCTATGTAAGTTCAACATGTAGTCACCGTTTCTTAGCAGAACCTCCATCTACAGAAGTAGCCGGAATATTAATGGTGTCTATTTCTGACTGTGGTTCTGAACTTGAGGAGGTTCCTTGTCTGGACTACCAAAAGTGCTAACACTGAGTGATGACTCCGAACTAGAATAAACAAATAATAGCTTATTCATATATCATCCACATTCACATACACTGACATATTTGAGGTAAAACATTACATTCTTAGAGTGGACATATAAAAAAAATAACAATTCAATGCTTAGTGAATTAGTGATGTTAAATTTCAATTATTGAGGTATTCTTAAAAAAGTAGCTTTTCATAACATATGACATCTTATGACTATGTAACATTTTACTTGCAACATTCTTATTTAAGAGCATGCAGTTGTGCAAAAATATCGTTTTAATTCATTATTATTGTCACTGTCTACCATTTTTATCACTAATCACTATTGTAATATTACCTCATGCTCTTTGCGAGTTAAAAGGCAGAATGGACAGGAATTGGAGCTGCATTAGATCTAAGACGCCTAACCTCATCACCCATGATCACAAAATTACTTTGTCGAAAGTGTTTCCAGCAAATAGCAGCACATTTTGGGAGCTCATGATCTTTCTCGAACCCCAGAAGAGATACCCATATTGACCTTCTCGTAGGTTCAGCAGGTATTCTGAAAGAATAAAGGAAGTGATTTTTATGTAAAGTTGACCTTAAAGTATCAATTTTGAGTAAAATCATAAAGAAAAAAATAATCAGATGGCATCCCTACGCGACTGGCCACTGGACACAGCGCTCCTAACCTCAAAATTATCAATTTTACTTACCTATGAAAAGACAAGCCTTTTGCTTCAGGCTGCAGGCTGCGCAGCTTGCAAACACAGCATTGGCGCTCCATGATAAAAAAACAGTTCGAAATAGTTTGAAAACAAAAAAAAAACACAATTTTCAGGACGATGCACACACAAACACGACCAATTCAAATTATGAATGAAAGCAGATTACAAGTTTAACAACCGTTACTCACACCAAAGCCGACGTTGCCAAACTTGACCTAAAGTCTTGGACAAAGGTGTATTCTTGCCAATGTTTACGATATTCTCCCGAACACTGTTTCAGATTCATAATTGCCGCTGTATTATCATAACCTTCTAAACGCATATATATGTGATATATTCTGGCTAAGGCTGTGTGCGTATTTAAAATCTAAATATATCTAAGATTTACGACAACAAACGTTTGTTTGGTTTACAGGGGTGAATGACGGCAACACCGTTCCAATGTCTGAAATGGAAATTTTGTAAACAAATATCGTCGGTGGGAGTTGCATTGCTCTCATTTTTCACATACATCAATGTTCCACCGTGGATGCCGAAAAATCTGGCAACTCCGCAGTCTATGTTTTCTATTCATTTTATTGTTCCATACTTTGTGCGTTTACAATGGTTTATATGGTTGTACCAGTTTTATTTTTTTTTGTATGTGGAAGTGGTGTTTTAGCCGCGGTACTGTCGCGCTTTGTAGAACCAAAAAATGTGCGGATGAAGCAAATTGAAGGACATTTTAAGGGCAGGTTGATCACTCCAGATGGAAACCTCAATTTTTATTGCAAGAATAGAAAACCAAACAATTTTCCTTTTAATCGTATAAATATCACATCATGAACTTTAGCTATTTAGGCTAGATGTTATTTCAAGGTCAACTGTTGCTACTTCATGAAACAGCGGACATTTAAAAAAAAGATATTAAAGAACTTTTAATGCAAAACGGCACATCTGCTGGTGACCTTCATTCCGACTATGACTGTCAATTCAAGGTCAAATTGACTTTTTACATAGAAACCCTCAATTTTGATCCCAGTGCTGCAATTTTTTCCATGGAAAGTCCAAATAGTGCTCTAATGGTTTTCGGAAAACCTAAGTACCTTTGATACCATTGTATTACATAGGAAATTGTACTTCAAGTTGTTTCAAATGCATGCACGGGTTCTGGCGGCTCAAAGCACAAATTTAAGTGAGAAAAGTGAGATTTTCAATAAAACTAGTGAGAAAATAGTGAAGAATAGTGAATTTATACATAAAAGTGAGTTAATGTTTTAAGAAATTGAATAAGATAATGAAAATTTTAAACGGACAATATAAATAAGAATGTGTGAAGAAAACGAGAATAACTCATATAAGGTCTTTTTTACTGTTTTATTGACATAAGCAAAAATAATTATTCATATGTATGCATATTTTAAGATCAAATACATACCGATGCATAAAAGAAACTTAAAAATATAACAAATTCTTGTTAATGAGAGAGACGTACATATATCTATTTATTGTTGCCCAACTGATTGAACCTACATTTTAGCGAACTAACGTTAAAAACTTAAAATTTGATATATACTAAGTGACATATAAATCCGAACACCCAGTTTAAATGGTTTTATTTTAATAAAATTTTGTATAAGTACTTAATGAAGCATAATAAGTAAATGATAAAAATTTCAAAATGATTGCACTGCTTTAAAGCCCTTTGACTTTTAATAATGTGTGGATGCACCCTGATGTGCTACGCATTCTCCAACGCGCCTAGGCGTGCTTCTGATCAGGTGGTCAATGTCCTCCTGTGGTATCTCATTCCAGGCAACCACCAACTCCTCTCGAAGTGCTTCTAGAGTCTGAGGAGGACGTTGCAAATTGAGCAATCTCCTACACGTGCTCAATTGGGGGTAAGTCGGGAGATCTTGGTGGCCATGGTAACAATGTGACATCATTATGTTGAAAGAAGTCTATTGTGACTCTTGCAACATGTGGTCGGGCATTATCTTGTTGGAAAGTTGGATCTGCCAGGGTGTCAAGATAGGGTAAAAGATGGGGTTCTAGAACTTCGTGGATATAACGCTGCGCGTTCATATTACCTCTGATGAAGATTAAAGGTGACCTGGAACCATAAGCTATAGCACCCCAAACCATAACTCCAACAGTGTGATGAACATGTCTTTCAACAAAAAACTGTGGATTCCTCCTTTCACCACGTCGCCTTCTAACCCTGGCACCACCATCGTGCATGCCTAAACAAAATCGAGACTCGTCACTAAAGACAATACTGTTCCATTCCTGATCCCAGAGTGACCGTTGTCTGCACCACTCAAGGCGATTACGTCCGTGTTCTCGAGTTAAAGGGAGGACCCAGTGTGGCCGGTATGAAAACAAGCCAAAACTTCTCATTCGTCGGTAAACACTTCGCATCCAATAGGTCTTCCATGTTCTGCAAACCATTCATTTGCAATGGACCTGGTAGTGGAGAAACGGTCCCTTAAGGCCAATAATCTTAGGCGGCGATCTTCACGGTCTGTTGTTCTACGGCGGCGTCCAGTGCCCCTTGCTCTTTGCGTACGGCCTTCTCGAAGCCATGCCTGACAACACCTAACCACAGTGTCTACACTTCTTTGCACTCTAACTGCAATTGCCCGAAAAGAAAGTCCAGCTTCCCGAAGTCCCACTATACGGCCCCTATCAAACTCACTAAGTTGACGAAATCGTACAGGTCTCCGTACTCTAGGCATCGTAACCGATCGTAAAGGATGTCGAGAACCAAAATCCGCCAACGTTGATTCTTTACTGCGGCTGAAATATTCATTTTTAGAGCGTTAGTGAATTAAAAAAAAACAGTATAAAAACCGGAATGTCCAACTGATAAGGCTGAAAATTTTTTCACTTGTTATTTACAGTAAGATAAATACATTCACCAAGTTTTATTAAAATAAAACCATTTAAACTGGGTGTTCGGATTTATATGTCACTTAGTATAGTTACTATTGAGTATTTTTCACACAACAATTTACTAACTCAATCATCAGACCGTGAGACTAGAGCACTTGTCATAATTAATCAAGCGAGGCTCTATTCGATGGGTTCCCATGGCCGCTTCCTGGCTTCATCATCATGTCATCTTCATGTCTCAATAATATTGCATTGGCAATTGTCATATTAAGCGTCAGACATATTGGATTAGAATGACGTCACTTTGCTTATTGTGTTTCTTTCATCAATCAATTTCATTTGATATCCATAATATGGGGGTGACAATGGAAATTATAAATCGATATTTTGCGGAGGCCGCCATATTGGATCCAGAATCACGTCACGCTGCTTACTGTATCTTTCTCATCAAGCCCTTTCAGTCGATAATCATATCATAGGGATAACAATAGAAATTATAAACGCCATCTTGCGGCGGACGACACATTTGATTTGAAATGACATTTTGCTTTTTGTGTTTCTCTCAAGCCCTTTCAACTGATGCCCATATTATACGAGTAAGTATGGAAATTATAAATCGCCAAATTGCTGCCTCCGTCATACTGGATTTAGAATGACGTTAGTTTGCTTATTGTGTTTCTCTCGTCCAGCTCTTTCATTTGATATGTCATATATTATGGAAGTGATAAATCGCCATTATGTAGCATACGCCAGATTAGATTCAAAATGGCGGCAGTTAATTCATTATGTATTGTTTCACAAACCAGACAGGCATACAAAATTTCAGCTCGATTGGTTCAAAATTCAGTTTCAGGGTTTGTATCACACATGTACATTAACGAACTAACATACTAACACTTACTTGTAAAAGTGCCACTGTTAAAGCATTTTATATTGAAATCCTAGCTAAAATTAAGCCAGAAGAATTTAAAAACGGTTCAGGGTAAGTTAGTATTTTCTGTCTCTATAAAAATACTCTAAATTGCCAAACTATCTAAGAAACATTTTATTAGTTACCTAAATGCGCAACTTGCCTTCATAAACGATTTTCTAACATATGGTATATTGTCGAATTTGAAATCCATAGTGCTTATATATAGAGTGCTTTTAGCAAAGGTGAATTAAATTCGACGCAGATTTCAACTAATCCCTGTAATTTCTCATGTAATACATATTGGCTCAGCTTGGGGAGAAACCTGTACACAAAAAAACACTTCATGTATTTTCGTGGGGCTTGAGAGAACGAGGACAGCTGCTTCGAAAACGTTCATATATACTACAGACAGCCGACACATCCACTTCAGCGAAACAAACATCTCTCCCAGGAAAAGTGGAGATGAGGTCTCTGAGCTCCTCCGAGTCGGCATGTCCGTAATGCGAAATTTTGCGACATGGGTGAGTATCTGCTACCTCAGAAGACTTAACCTCCACAACACCGTGATCTGAGTTACCCAGGGGAGACAGGACAGCAGTGCTGTGTGACGAAACGCGGGGGAAAAACTAGGGCTCGTCACCAGCTGGGTCAGTCCTTGGGTAATAGCGAACGCTTCAACTGCACGACCTGCTGCATCGGTCTTGTTCGAGCCCAACCAAAACTCATTACACCTGTAGGCATTGAAATGACCGACGAGAACTACCTCTGAAGCGGGGTGATTGATGTTCGGGAGTGGATTTTGATAGCGAGATATTCAAGTAGGTGATCTCATTAATGGTTCGAGGGAGAGCAATAAAGGCAGAAAATAAATTTGGGGGATGTTTTGGAGTTGAGACGAAGCCACAGAATGTCCTTCCGGTCTGATTCCAAAGAAACGCCTCTGAAGCAGGAAAGACTGCTGCGGCTAAAAGCCACCACTGCCCCGTTATTTCTTAGATTGGAGTGCACCTCGTAATTTGGGAAGCTAAGATGATGAATCGGTGCAGACTCCGAGATTTTTGTCTGGGCCAAGTAAAGCATATCGGGACGATTAGATTGCAGATAGTGATGAGCCGCATCAATGTTGTTGATAATCCCGCAGATGTTCGTGAAACAAATTTATCATCGATGTTGTTCGGAATTCTTAGTACTCAAGAGATCCATCGTCATTAATTTCTTTTTTGGGGAAGATAACCGACTCCGCAGCATAGGTGTGGAAACATTAAGACAGCCTGGGAAAAGCTAGCGGGTGGTACCGCCTCGGTCGACTGGTCCTTGTCTACCACGTGTTAATGATGCTAAACAGACCTAAAGTGGCCTATTGGCGTCTTGTACCGCCCCACCCGACAATCGGTACTGAAGTATTCCTTAACGCGTCTACAATCTCTTGAACGGGAAGAAGTTGTATACTGAA